TCGCTCTGCAATTACGGAACCAACTTAACAGGCGGCTGCTGCAGCTGCACATTCACCACTTGAAGCCTTGCAGGACTCCAAAGTGCAAACCTTATAAGTTTATGCAGACCTTACTCTCTCTCTCTCTCTCTCTCTCTCTCTCTCTCTCTCTCTCTCTCTCTCTCTCTCTCTCTCTCTCCCCCCCCCYCCCCCCATCTCTCTTCAGACAAACACACAGACACAAAAAAAAGAAAAAAAAAACCGTGTCCCCAATGCCTCCCCATCCTGGACTGCTAGAAACGGGGACAGTGCAATGCCTCAATAGACTCAGCAGGTTAGGTCTGGACTCTGGAGGCAGTAGTGGTTCAGCCAGCAGAAGTCCGACCACCACCGATGTCGTGGGCAATGTTGTTGAGCATCTCGCCGGCTCGTCAGTGAGCTCCTGTGCTGGGTAGGGAGCGCAGGGGTGGAAGTTGTGCGGAATATGTGCCATTGAGATGAGAGTATAGTGCTTGAAGTTGCTCGAGGCGGTACTGGTATAGCAACGGCAGTGAATCCTGAGCATGACCAGTCATCAAACACGGCAAAAGTTGGTGAGAAAAATCTGTGGTCGGGGGCAGCAGCATCAGGTGAGTGCTCCTGCCCTTATCTACCATCCGTCCGTCTCTAAACACCTCCTACTACTCTCTCTGTGTCCACTTTCCTCTTGTCTAGCAGTGCTGCAGAGTGTGATCACCACACGTGTGCTCCTTGGCCATCACCAAGCAAGTCGGCCGGTCCTTCTCCCAGCACCCTGTGGCTACTGTTCAGCAGAGCAGGTACCGCTGCTGCTGCTCACCTTCCTCCTTCGATGAGCCCTGGACCGACCAGTAGGTGCTCATGCAGAGCTACCGCTCACAGCCAATACCTCTGAATGTGTGGCAAGCAGCAGCCTCCCCCCTTTTCTCACTTTCTGGAGGCTGTGTGCGAGCTTCTGCAAACTCGTTGGGACCCAGACCCAGACCCAGACCCAGACCCAGCCAGTTCTCAACGAGCCCCCGGTCCCCATGGTCCTCTATAGCAGTCTGCTGTTCTAAGCCTATCTTTGTACTATCAAGCCCATCCTTCCCCTGTGGCTTTGTGCGGATCCTAGTGTGTATTCCTGCTTCGACATATCTACAGTTATAGTCAAGCTATCAAAGTCATCCAACTTGGTGTCCCTTATGAAAAGTATTAGAGGCCCCAGCGTTTTCCTTGCTTCCTCCTATAGCTTCTATACCTATTCCCCGTCACGTCATATGTTATGGTGTTTCAGCATGAACTCCCCCTCTAAACTAGTCCTCCCCTATACAAGCTCTGTCCCATCCGTAGATTCCGTACCTTTCTACCCCCTATGCTCCAACTTATTTGTTATGGTACAACTAAAATTCTCATGTTTGCCCTTGCATGGGTCCTAAAGCTAGAAGAATAGTGGCTAATATGCCGGGACCATCTCACACAAATGTGTACATGTCATGCATCATCTTCACACGCAGTGATCAATAGTATCAACCATAGACAAAGGTAGAGAAGAAGAGGACCGAGTTTCACAGCTTATATTATCAGAAATATGAATACAAAGTGTTTCAAAGTTCCCCTGAATCCAGCACTCATCAGCGCAACACCAATCTCTTGTCAGCTCATCAATATGACTTTCCGTGAATCAGCGCTACTCCTGCAGATAACCTCCAAGTCATCAACGTGGTCACTACTTCTTCAGCGCCACCTCTGCAGGTCACATCTAACCCAGGTAAGTATCTTCCATAGCCGAACCTTGAATGAACACTTTCAGCCTCAGTCCCTTCCTCCTACGATGCATACACACTCTTCACTCATGAGGATCTACTCTGGATACTACTCATAGCTACATACTAACCCACTACTACTAATGCTAACTTGCTGGGCAGCTATGGCTGCATCACTTCCAGCATGCAGGCTTCTCCCTTCACTCAGCGCATCTTCTCCTTCCAGCGCTGCTCCTACTAGCTCAACGCACAAGTGCACCAGCACTTCCACGCATAGAATGCCAGTGGAGATCTGGCCAGGAATGAGGCTGGCTGCCTCCTTTATACTCCTCGCTGAGTCTGCATTGGCTCAATCCAGCCTTCCTTTTGTCCCAGACCCTGCATTGCATGTGTCCCAGTAGAGTCCCAATGAAGTTCAACTGCTGCTGAGGCCTCCCGGCCTGAATTTGGACTTGAAAGTCTGGATCTGGACTGACCCCTGGACTTAGACCAGAACTGGGACTGTGCCTATTGACTTTACTTTCGGACAGGCACAACTCTGAACGAACAGACACATTTACTGCTTGAATAGACACTTTACTTTGCATCAACAGGTACACTGCCTGCACGTACAGACACACCCTTACCCGAACAGACATGACAAACACATCTCCTGGTGAACAGGTAAGTCTTTTGACAATGCCCTTTGCCTTAGCTTTAGATATGCCTGTTGATAGAGAGCTTGACCTTTGACCTGCTTTCACGTTTCTGAGCTCTGGTGAGATACCTTTTGACAATGCTTTACTTTTTCAAGGCCCGTGCTGCTTTATTTTACAAGGCCTGAGGCCTATATCGGGTAAAGGCCCTTTTACCCTCCTTTCCATTCTGCCTATCTCTGGTACCTAACTATAATACAAATCGGTTGCTTTCATGGTAGTCAGCCTCTGTGGCATACTGCGTAGCCACACGGGCCCTGAAGGGCCCATCCCGCACTTTCAGCCTAAAAGCCTAGAAAATAGGGCTTACAGGCCCCGGTCGTTTCAGCCTGAAACTGAAAAACGAGGGCCTGCAGGCCCTATT